GCCCCTGGGATGTCCCCTTGCCCCAGCACCCACCCTGGGGCCATCTCCTTGTCCCAGTGTCCACCCCCAGGGTCCCCCTTCTGCCCCATTCCCTAGAGCCCCACAGCTGCCCCCCCAGCACCCCAGGGGGGACCAAGCACCCGCTTTGCTCCCTGCATGGCAGGATCAGCCCCTCCCCAGCACCTCAAGGTCAATGGGTGACCTCAGCTCTGTCCTTAATGTCCCCCTGCCACCCCCATTCGCAGTCCTGGGGGCACTGGTGGGAACCAGGCTCAGCCCTGACCCCGAGCAGTGACACCATGGGGACATGGACCCAGACGGTGCTTTCTGCAGTGACTGTGGCCCCATCACAAGGCTCCACTGGGACGAGTCAGAAAACCTTGGTCACCGTGGGGAAGGTCCCAGGGTGACGTGGTGGCATCGGTCCCCTGTGTCAGAGCAGCCACGCTGGGGACACCATCGTCACCAGGCCATAGGTGTGAGGATGGGGCAGCCCAGGGGCAGAGTTAAGGGGATGGGAGCAGCACCAAGTGCTGGAGCCACCTCAAACCTGTCCCCACGTCAGCGCAGGGGTCACCCCAGCACCATGGGGGTCCCCACGCCACCCCCCAGGCCTGAGGTCAAGCCCCCCCCAAGCTGCTGAGTCAGCCCAGGGCTGCGCCATGGACTCATCGCCCCCAGCACAGGGCCCTGACGCGGCCACGCGTGACCAAGGGACCAAACTGGGGGGAAATGAGGGGTTGCAGCTGAGTGTGACCCCCCCAAAAAAAGGCCCAGGATGGGGATTTGTGACCCTGGCCATGGTATGGGGGGGGAGAAATGAGACAGAGCTTTGAAAAAAGGGAAAATATCTTGTTGTAAAATCTCTGCTACATATAATCCTCTGCGACTCCTGCAGCGACAGAGCCCTGGGCCCAAAACCAGCCCTGAGGAGGAGGAGGAGGTTTGGCTCCTGCCCTCCCCACAAGCGATTGTAGGATAAAATAACCCCCCCACATTGAAAAAATCACAGTTATCAAAAGGGGATGTGACAGGAACGCAGCTCAGGCCCTCGTCCCCACCGCTCTGCAAGGGCACCATGGGTCAGTGTCTCCAACAGCGCACGGGAAGGGGCTGGGGACACCACGGTGAGGGTGGGGGGCAGATGCTGAGACGCCCCCAGCCCCTCACCAGTCCTCGTCCTCGCTGCTACCAGCGTTTCCTGAGGGGTTCAGCATTTCCCAGCTGCTCCCATTGGTTTCCTTCCCCAGCAGCTGCAATTGTCCACGGCAGGACCCGAAATTGGGGGGACGACGGCTTTGGGGACAGGTCCTGGGTGGGCTCAAAGCACCAAGGGCACATCCAGCTCCGAAGGCCATGGCTCCAGAGCTGCACCTTCACAAAAATCAACTTCCCCAGGGCTTGATTTCTGCAGAAATGGGAATTTTCCTCCTCCTCTGGCAGCCGAGCGCTGCTCCAGCTCCATCGGGGCGGGCACAGCCCCCTTCACCCCACAACGGGGCACTGGCACGGGTCACACCTCGCTGCTCTACCAAAATGAGCTCTTCCAAGCCCAAAAGCCCTCCCTGGCAGTGGCTGCTGTGGAGGAAGAGGGGCCTGGTGTGGTTATTGCTGGTGGTGTTTCCATGGGGAAACAACTGGGGGTGGGGTAATTTCCAAATTCTCCCATTTTCCCAGAGGTAAATCTGGGAGCGGTGATCGAGGTGAGGGGGAAACAACTGGGGGTGCATCGGGGTCATTTCCAAATTCTCCCATTTTCCCAGAGGTAAATCTGGGAGCGGTGATCGAGGTGAGAGAAAAATCTTCAAATCTTCCATTTTCCACGAAAAGCAGGAGAGAAAACGCAAACCCCAAACCTTCTGCTCCACCACCAAGAGGAAGCCCTGGGCTCGCTGCAACGTGAAGGGTTCAGAGCCTTCCCCAAGGGACATCAGCTGCCAGGGACAACCCCAAAATCTGCTTTTTTTGGGGGGTGGTCTCCCCCACCACGGCACCACCAGGACCTGCGACTCCGGCCACCGCATCCCCTCCTTGCCTTGATGCTCACAGACAGCACAGGGGGCTCAGCAGCCCCCCAGGATGGTACAGAGCACCCAGATTTCACCCAAAACATCACCAGGCTTCTGGGAAGGCTGCGTATCCGTCCCCCATTGCAGCGGTGCCGAGTTTCCTTCCAAATCAAGCAAATTTTCCCGTTGAAACTGAAGGAGGGGGCATCAAATTCTTCTTCCAGCTCTTGCAGACCCTGAGGGGAGTGAGATTTGCCACAAGTTGTGGGTTTGGGTTTGGTTTTTTTCCCCCCCCACTGAAGAAGCCAGAAGAGTCAAAAGTCCAGGTTTAAAATTTAAAAGCCCAAAAAAAATAATATAGATATGTAAAAAACAAAACCTCATTCTGTTCCCTATCTTCCCCTGCTCTCCTCCATTCTGTGATTTGGCAACAGCGTCCCGACATGGCATGGGTTTTTAAGGAGATGGTGAGCGTAAGAGCAAATCCTGCCATCCGTGTAGTGAAAAAAAATGCAGCTCCTGAACAAATCCAGGGCATCTTCTGTGCGGGGACCTCGACGTCCAGCTCCGAAACGAAGGCAGGAACTCAGAGGTGTGATAAAATACATGGACAGTGCACTTTTCCCACCCGTACGCTGACAAAAAGCCGCTGAAAACATTGGCTGAAAGCATCAGCTGCGAAACCGATGCCTGGGGAACAAAGCTACACAGAAAATATAACAATATTATATTATAATATAACATTATTATACGTGTTATGGCTCGTAACTATCCCGGCAGTCACAGGAATGAGGGCTCACACAGGGCCCGTTTCATTGCACAGTTCACAGGAGAGAGACGGCGTCCGAATACGCGGGGATCTCCCCCAAAACTAAAAAGCACCGTCCAAAACCGGCCCCGTTTCCTCCGGTGAGGAATCCAAGCGGGGTCCTTGCGCCAGCGTCCTCCAGAACGGCGCCCAACGAGGGGACCGCGTTTGGAAGAGTTTCTTTTTAAAAAGTTGCAATACTTTTGTGTTTGATAGGAAAAAAAAAAAAAAGAGTCTTGGTATAGAAGATTGAAATAAAAACGGTAAAAGCCACCTTCCGAATTCGGAGGGGCCGCAGGTAACGCAGACGGGAACCCCTCCGGCCAAAAATAAAACCCCGAGCCACAGGGCCGCGACGCAGCCAACGGAGCCGCTCTCGAGTCCTGAAGCTTCCAGGGGAACGGCTCCCACTGCCAGCACCGCACAGAGGAGGTGCCCAAATCGTCACCATCCTCCTCCTCCTGCACGGCCCATCCGTCCTCCAGGCCTGCAGAAGGTAGGAAGTCTTTCGAAAGTTCAGCAGTCTTTGAAAAAAAGACTTAAGGTGTTTTCTTTTACACGTGGATATTCTGTATAGCTACAGCTTGTTTCCCCTAGGGCTTGTTTTATTCTGAGAAAGAAGGGAATATATTCAACTCGGGGAATTCTTCGTTGTTGTAGTTGGGTCCTTGGTCTCCCAGCATGGTCAGCATGTCCTGCGAGGATACAAGGAGAGAGTTATTAGCCAGACTCGAGTGTTATGGCCTCAAGTTGTGCCAGGGGAGGGTCAGGTTGGATTTTGGGAGGAATTTCTGTACTGAAAGGGTGGTCAAACACTGGCAGGGGCTGCCCAAGGAGGTGGTGGAGTCCCCATCTCTGGAGGAGTCCAAAAACCGCACGGATGTGGCACTTGGGGACGTGGTTTAGTGGTGGACCTAGGGCTGGATCGTGGTTGGACTCGATCTGAAAGGTCTTTTCCAACCCAAACCACGCTGTGATTCTGTCACGTTGGTCACTTGCTGACAGGGGAGCGACCACGAGCCAGGATGGTCCCTTCCCACCCAAGCAGGGCCTGGGTCCAAGGCTGCAGGAGAGCAGCGAATTGAGCAGTGACTGAAAACAGGGAGCAGCAACTCATGAGCTCTCAAGAGTCACCTTCACTTGATGGGATCGGGGTGGGCGTTTGGCTTTTCATTATCAGAGCTAGAAGGGTTAATTCAACTGTGGAGCTGGTGGAGTTTTGTGCTGATCCTGCAACGGACCAAGGCACGAAGCCAGCGCACCCGAGGCCTCGCCGCTCTCCAGTTTCAGCTCCATCAGCTCAAGTCTGAGGCCTCACCAGGTATCAGAAACCAGAGGGAAGCAAAGAACGGCCCCCCCCTCCCCCAAGTCCTCACTCGGGAGGTTAAAAAAAGCACCGTCTTACTGAGAAG